ACACAGCATACATAGCAGCAAGGATAGCATCATAATCAAGATCAAAGATAGCAACCCCCGACTTAAGCAGAATATCCCAGCGAGGGATCTCCGAGGAGCCAGGGAACTGAGTGCGCCAGGCGTCAGTCAGGCGGCCGAAGCAGCGTGGTGTGGTGTGCGGGCCTCCGCACGTCTCTCCACTGCGGTCGCCGGAGCGAAGAACGTAGGTGCATGGACCAGCACCCCCAGACCTCCCACGCCCAGCGTACCACTCACGAAGCTGCTGAGGCGACGGGGTCTCACGGGAGCGCTGCTGCTGCTGGCGCTGGCCACCGCTAGAGCCTCCCCGCTGCCCACCACCACCCCCGCCACTCCCACCTCCTCCGCCGCTGCCGCCACCTCCACCCCCACTCCCGCTGCCTCCGCCGCCTCCACCTCCACCGCCGCCACCTAAGCCCCCAGTCCCGCCACCACTCCCACCTCCACCCCCACCCCCTCCTCCTCCTCCACCACCACTACCGCCGCCCCCGCCGCCCCCTCCACCCCCCTTGCCCCACTTGCCCTTGCTGTTGCGGCGCCTGCCACTAGGAGCAGACGCAGTGCCGACCGACTCGGTGCCAACGAGGTCAACAGCAGCAGCAGAGGCAACAGAGGGCAAAAGAGGGACGGGGGAGCACCCCTCAAAAAAGGGGCACGGGGGTCACCACGAGAGGCTCCTACAGCGACTATACTCTTCTCAGCTGCAAGGAGGCGCTCCTCGAGGAGGTCAACGGTGAGTGTGGTGGGGCAAAGAGAGAGGAAGTGGTCCCTGACCGAGCAAAGGGAGTCAGGGAGCCGGGTAACGAGGTAGTAGAGATTGATGTACATAGGGGGTGGGTTCTTGGCGCAGAACTCGGTAGGAAGCGCAGCGCGGTAGCGGGTGTCACTAGTGCAAAGGTGCGTAATGAGGTCAGCGACTGTGGCAAAAGCGGCTAGGTCAGGGAACAGGTACGGCAGCATGAGGCGGCTAAGGGCAGCAGTGGCAGGGGAGGAGTAGCGCGCAACAACAGCAGTGTACAGAGTGCTAGCAGTCTTGTACTGGCTAAAGTGTGCGCGCTCAGCAGAAGGCAGGTGACTACGGACAGCAAGACGGGCAGCAGCATCGCGCGTGATCCACTGTGAGCGAACAGTACTGGCAGTATCAGCAGCAGGTGCAGCAGAGGCGCCAGAGGTGAGATCAAACAGGGAGATACCGTCCTTGCTATCACACTGCAGGAAAAGCTGCAGATCATCGATCCAGACCTCAAAGTCGACAGCTCGCCCCTCAGCATCAAAGGTAAGCACATTGGGACTAGCCATGACAGCAGCAGCACTAGCCTAGTAGCAGTAGCGGCGGCGCGACTCGGCAAAAGGGCGCGCTCGGCAGGGCGGCGCGGCTCGGCAGGGCGGCGCGGCTCGGCAGTGCGCTTACCAGGGGCGGAAGGGTAGGGTGGCCGCGACTGGGCGGCAAGGCAGGGCCGGGGCAGTAGTGACGGCCGCGGCGGCGGCGGCTCGCCACACCGGCGGAGGCAGGCTCGGCGGCGGCGGCAGGGACGGCAGCTGCTGCAGGGCTCCTCGGCGGCTGCTGCAGGTGGAGGCCGCAACCGGTGAGAGGGGCAGGGCGGGGTCGCAGCAGCGGGTCGACGCGGGGAGTCGGCGACGGCAGCTGCTGCAGGGGCGACGAAGAGCCGCGAAGGGCCGCGAAGGGGGGGGCCACGAAGGCCGCGAAGGGGCCGCGAAGAGCCGTGAGGGGGCCGCGAAGGGCCACAATGGGGCCGCGAAGGGCGGCGAGGGGGCCGCGAAGGACCGTGAAGGGGCCGCGAAGGGCCGCGAGAGAGGCCGCGAAGGGCCGCGAAGGGGCCGCGAAGGGCCGCGAAGGGGCCGCGAAGGGCCGTTAGAGGGGCCGCGAAGGGCGCAAAGAGGCCGCGAAGGGCGCGACGGGGCGCTTAAGGGCAGGCGCGAAGCGCGCCTCGGGCAGGTAAGAGAGAAAACAGTCGTAGTGGTGGGCCCTTAGGAAAAAAAACGGTCCCACTAGGGAACCCGCTCTATACCATGTGAGAATATTACGAGGGATGAATTGACTAGAAATGAGTTGGGTACAAATAGGGAAACCTAGAAATGTAGTACCCCCTATTGTCTAACCCACTACAGCCTAAACAGGCTATAACATAAGTTTGACAAACTTCTCCGATGTCATAGGCCTTGAGACGTCCGTTGTTGGCGACGGTAATTTCACACGGTCGTCGCATGTGTCTTGAGTTTCTGATGAATGTTGAAGATCCCACCATGTGTTGCCCGCAGCAGCTGTCAAGATACCAGGTGTTGATGCTCTCGCGATTGCGTCGCACAAGTCCAGCGATCCTTGGGGTGACGACGCGGTCAAAATCCCCGGTGTATGGCGAGAGATCGATGTATCGTCTCGCGGAAATGCTGGGAGGGGATTGTGGTGTTGGTGGAGGCAACTCGAAGTCTGGTGGTATGTTAGTTGGACGATTGATCCAGCTGCTGAGCGAGGGGTCATTGTTCGGAGTTGGCGTGATGGGGTTGATGGGCGCGATTGGCGGATATTCGATGCTGTCGAAGTATCGAGTGCCTCTGCGACGTCGCGCCATACAGCTCATGATTGACCCTTTTCCCTTGTCTTTGACCGTGATGCGCGCAGGAGTTTGGGAAGTGCTTGCGACGGAAGGTGGCGACACGGTTGATGTTGAAGCAGGAGAGGCCGAGGGTGCCGAAGACTGCTGACTGGAGAAATTGTTGCGCCTTTTGTCAGCTGCCTTGCGCTTGTAGCACCGATCTATAGTGTGTCCGGGCTTTTTGCAGTATTTGCAGAAAGTTCCTTTCTTGCCGTGTTGCTCCCCTTCAGTCGCTCCAGCATAGAAGACTAATTTCTCCCGCTTGCCGTTTTTCTCATTGTACAGATCAATCTCCTTCTGCTCGGAGAGAAGCGTGGCGCACAAAGCAAACTCGGAGACGGTTGCTCGAGCACGGAGCAACGATTGGCACTGTCGCCAGTCGGGTCCGAGGCCGGAGAGAACCATGGAGACGAACATGTCGTCGGGAACGGTTCCGCCGCACTTCTTGATGTGGTCGCGCAGATTGCGGCACCGATTGATATATGGTCCCGCCTTCTCCCCTTGTTGCATTTTGACCGATGTAAGTTGGCTGAGTAGGCGACTCATAGTAACGGGATCTGTTGCCATGTATGAGTTGCGCAGGTGCTCCCAAGAAGAGTATGCGGGTGCCCACTCTGATTTATAGGAGCGAATGCCAAGCTGTTCAGCGGGAGAGAGGTTTCAGAGGAGAGTGGTGTACGCGAGAAGAGACTCGTGGTAGTACTGGTTCTTCTCTTGGATGGTGCCCTCCGTCGGAAACGGTAAGCTTTCGTCGTAGTACATCCAGATTTGCGCGGTTGTCGCGAGGAGCTCGAACTCGAAGCTCCACGTGTAAAAGTCATTGCCGTCGAAGGGAACTGATGTCTTCAGCTTTGAAGTCAGAACAAACCTTGTTTGCATTGTCGCAATTGTTTCTGTGCGATGTTGACTGTCTTGCGCAGGAGCTGAAGCTTGACGGTTGTCAAATGTGAATGACCTCTCGGAGTTGACGCGGCGGTCTTCTCCAGGGAGAGGGAGTCCATCAACTCCACATGCGTAGCTTGAGCCATCGATGCTCATGGCTTGATGGCTCTCAAGAGCGTTGATGCGAGCAACCAGCTGCTCAACGAGAGCGGCGCTGACGGAGGTCACCGCTGATGGTGCAGTGGGAGTTGCTGGTGGTGGGCCCGGAGAATCTGCAGTGCCCTTTTCAGAAGCCATAGTGATGCAGAGTATGTAATGGTTTAACGGGTAATTTATAAAGAGGTTGTTTTAGAAAGAACGAGAACTTAGCAGCCCTTATAATCCACTCTAGCTCTCATACTATGTTGTTATAACTTAAGAATCGTAGTGGACAGTATAAGTCTGCTAAGTTTAAGGAAAGACAATGAAGTCTCTGAATGACCTTGTTAATAAGATTGAGAGAGAACACGATGATTAAAGGATAGTGATACAAGGAATAAATAGCAGTCCTAGCTAGCCATGTACTCTGAGGGGTACATTCCCTTATTAACTGAATTGCATTGCTACAGTAACCACGACTATTGCTATTCTTGACAGTTACCATGTTGCATCGCGTAACTACCAAGTGCGGTTACTGGGAAGTCAAGGGTCACGACCGTTGACTGTCTTCGACTGTTGACCTTCAGTGGACCCTCGACCTTCCGCATGCTCTATGTGAGCTATTGCGATACTGATACAGGCGCGTTGCTTCGTTATGGAGTGACGCGCGAGTGGAGAGCCTTCGGGAATGTTACGATAACCTTTGGTTTATTTCATCAAATAAATACAAGAACTATTTTTTATCGACTTGTCTCCACTTGATGCCACTTTTCAGATCTCACAGTGCCATTTATTCTTACTCGTATATGCAATGTCTGTGTAGTTAGTGAAGCTGATAAGTTTTTGAATTGCATTATAAGAGATGCGTTAGAGAGTACGGCTGATTTGCCCAGTGCCCAGCACGCAATCCAAAACCTTGATCGTTGCCCCTTGGTACAGGTTCCCGTCCCAACGTCCCCAATGACACGAGGATGCTCAAATGAGGGGAGGATAACAATCCGACGTGGCCCTACTTGCTCGCGACCATCCCTGTGCGCGCCACGCGTCTCCACGGCGGCACTCTGCTATGGCTCTGGGCTGCCCCCGCCAGGTGCACATCCCTCCCTCCCTCCCTGCCCTTACGCCTCCCTCCCCCGCCTCGATCTCACTTGTGTTTCTCCTCCCTCGCCCCCTCACACTCCTGCCTTTGCCACTCCCACGCCTGCTTGGGTCCTCTCTCCCCTCGCGCAGCCCTGTCTATCCCATGCCCACTACGTGATCGTGCAGCGCGTCTCACTGATCTCCGCATTACCCGTGCGCTGGAGATCGTGAAACACCTTCCCTTAGACGTCGAGTGAGGTCTCCATCATGGAAGTAGCTGTGGGTCGGCTTATCGCGAGGCCTGTATTTTTCTCAGGTGACGTTTTGGAGTTGCAATCACCCTCGCGCCTCGACAGATGCGTCGCGGCCGACCCATCTGCGCGTCCCCCGCGGCGGCTCGCGCTGCATTCGTCTGCCAATGCGCCCAGCACGGCCAGGCGGAATGCGCGGCGCAGCGCGGGGCAGGCGGGCGAGGAGGGTCGGTTCGGCGGGAGCAGGGGCAGCAGGGGGCGGTGGGTGGCGCGCAGCAGTCTGGCGGAGCACCACGGCACGGACGCCGCTGCCTCGCGCACACAGGAGGCTGACGTGGCAGGTAGCAGCGGAGCCGATGCGGCAGCGGTAGAGGAGGCGGCGGCGGCTGTGGTGGACCTGTCGGACGTGATGGAGTGGGAGCTGGACTTCTGCTCGCGCCCGCTGCTGGACGAGCGCGGCAAGCGCGTGTGGGAGCTGCTGGTGTGCGACAGCAGCCGGCGACTACAATTCGCCGAGTACTTCCCGTCCAATCGCATCAACTCCGCCACGCTCAAGGACGCGCTCTTGCGAGTAATGGACGCCACGGGCGCGCCCAAGCCGCAGAAGATCCGCTTCTTTAGGTGCGCCCGCTGCTGCCCGATCGGATCGGATTCAATCCATCAGTCTTGTTTCCGTTCATTTCTTCCCGATCGTCTGTTGTGCTCGGCTCGGATTCGTGTTCGTTCGATAGGGCACCCGCGGCTCGGCTGCCTACCGAGTGCGGCAGACGCTGAGCATATTGCGCGACTTGTTGCTGCCGGTCCAAAATCCACCACGCGTGGCCTACGTGGTTCAGTAGCGACGAACAATGCGATAGTTAATGCCCGGTTTTTCCTCACGTTACCCTTAACCTGTCCGTATCCCAGTCTCGCGTCATATTCATTCTCTCTGTATACGCGCCACTCTGTCTCTTCCTCCTCCCTCGTTGCTCGCACTTGGAACCGTTGCAGCCACTACGTTGTGCCGCGCCGGCATGTCACCCCTTGTGCGCGCCCAGTCCGCCACAGCGCCCTCATACCACCCTCCGCAACCTCGCCTCTACTTCCCCTGCCTTCCCCTGCCCTGTCTTGCTCTCTCCTGCCCTCCCCTGCCCTCCCCTGCCCCACTCTGATCTCCGTGTGCGCGCGTGTGGGCGGGCGTGCACGGCAGGGCGCAGATGGCGACGATTATATCCAAGGCGGCCACGGACCTCGACATTCAGCCCGTGCCCAGCCAGCGGGTACGCCCCCTGCCGCTCTCTCCGCGCGCGTCGTGTCCGCCATGCTGTTGCTCCTCGCATTCTGATATGTCATCGCCCTGCCGTTCCTCCTCCCTGTGCTGCTTCATATCGCCTCCCTCTATCCCCCACCCACCCGCTTCCCTGACCCTCTCCTCTCCCCCTTCACCCCCACCTCTCTTCCCACCCACCCCCCCTTTCCCACCCCCTCTCCTCCTCCCCCTCCCTTTTTTCCTCCCGCTCCTTCTCCCCACGCGCCTATCGCGCGGCGGGGCGGCAGTGCGTGACGTTGCTGCGGTGGTTGGACGAGCGCTACGACGCGGTGTACCGCGTGCAGCCCAACTTCCAAGCCAACGCGCCGCCGCTGCTGCAGCTCGAGGCGGCGGCACCGCAGGACCTGCCGGACACGCTGCGGGGCGAGCAGTGGGCGTTCGTGCAGCTGCCGCTATCCGGTGAGTACACTCGGCGCGCTACAACGCTGCTCGCAAAAGCCCGTATACTGCGTTCACAAGTCACACACGTCGGTGCTCAAACGCCATGGCATCCACCCGGTGCGGCCTTTATCCTTGTGTCTCGTCGCTTTCTCCACGCTCACCGTGCGTCTCTCGTGCGCACCCGCAACCTCTCCCCGTTGCCGCCATACCCCTAGCGCGGAATAGGCGCTGGTGGGGCTGAGCGGAGGGCGGTAGAGGCGTATTGGTGTGAGGGGTTGGCACCTGCGGGAAATAACAGCAATCATTGTTCAGGGACGAAAGGGTTCGGGAGGCAGGTAGAGGGGGAATGGGGGGCCACGGGCGTGGAAGGTGCAAATGTTGCGCCTTTGATGTGGTGAGAGTTGGGATCTGGTGAGAATCGTTGGTGTGGTGAGATCTGCGTGGGTCCCATTCAGAAGAGGGCGTCACATAACATTGTGAGGTGGAGAGGGACGGAAGCGTGAAGCAACACCGCCTGTGCGCGTGCCTGTCGTTGCGGCTCTTGTGCGCGTGTGCGTGCTTGTGGCGTTGTGAAAATCGGGGTGAAGGACGGATAGGGAAGAGACGGGAGAGGGGAAGATGGGAAGAGAACGAGGTAGGGGCGAGGCGCGTTAGGTCACGAGCAAGTTCGCCGTGCGCGCCACGGCCATACCGGGCTTAGTCCCAGCTCGCACACTACTCGCTTTGCAATAGTCTTTACCATCCCCTCCCACCCTTGCCCCTCGCCCCTAACCTCTCTCTGCTTAATTCTCACCCCTCACGCCACCCCTCACCCCTCGCCCCTGCCCGCTGCCCTTTCGCCGTTGCGTGCGTGGGTGGGGGCACGGCAGGCATACTGGAGGAGATGCAGCGGGTGCGTGCGGGCGACATGTTTGGGAGCGTGTTGGACCTGGCGGCCATGGGCCTCGCATCCCTACCGCCCGACTCCATGGTGCCCGGCGTCGCCGTCGCCTCCACGCGAGCCACGCCCCTCGCAGGTCAGGACCGCGCCTCTCTCCCTACCCCTCTACCCCTTCCCCTCTTCCCCTGCCCCTCCCCCTCCGCCCCTCTCCCGCCGCCCCTCTTCCCCCGCCCCTCTCACCCCGCCCCACTTTCCCCGCCCCTCCGCCGTACGCCCCTCTCCGTCCGCCCTTTTCCCGCGCCCCTCGTCTCTCGCCGGCCGCACTCGCCCCATGTCCCCTAGCCGGGATCTCTCAGCATGCGGGTTGGGTCGCTGCTCCCATAGATGCAGCTAGCGACTCATGGGAACAGGAGGAGCGGGGTAGAGCTTGGCATGGTGCGGCAGGATAGGGGGTGGGGCAGCCCAGTGCACGCGAGCTGGCAGCATGGGTGCTGCCGCGTGTGGCTGTGTGAGTGCCTTGCTGCAATCAGTGCCTGCCTTGCCTGTAGCGCCCACAACCCCATGTCTCATTCTCTCTCCCAGCTCCCACAGCACCGCACCCACCCTCGGCCTGACGCTGCCCTGCCACCTCCTCCTGCCACCTCCCCCATGTCTCTTTGCTGTTCCTTCTTCTGCCACGCTGCTCTCATGCATCCCCACCCCATGTCGCCCTCTCCCCTCTAACCCCTCTTTCCCTCCCTCCACCCTCCCCGGCCTCCCCACAATGCCCCCTCCCCGTGGCCCATGTGTGTGTGCTGGCAGCGTGGACGAGTGCATTGGAGCTGGCGTCGCTGCGGGTGGACCCCTCCAAGGCATGCCTGCTGCTGGCCACGGGGGTGGCGGACACGTGGCGCTACGCCTTCTACCGCCGCTCCATGGCAGCGGATGCAGAGGCGCGTGCGTGGGAGGAGGCCAAGCGTGCGTGCGGGGGCTTGCACTTCCTGGCCGTGCAGAAGGACCTGGAGGAGGAGGAGTGCACCGGCTTCTGGTTGCTGCAAGATGCCGACCCGCCACGCTTCTAGTTGCGCTTGGAAGGGCCGGGTGTTGGTTGGTTGGTTGGTTGGCTCCTTGTACACGACGCCGTGCTTAGTGTGCCTTGTGCTGCTTTGAATATTCTGTCTGCTTCTTCTTGCTAGTTTGTTTAAATCTGGGCTCGCCAACGAGGTCCTCAGGTTGGGATAGAGATGGCACGATGTAATACAACCAGATAACAAAGAAGCTGTTGTATTGACAGGCAGTGAAAATAACGATATGCACAGAGTGGCATAAGGTTGCCACTTATTCCAGAGTGTTCCCAACAGCCGTGGAGTTAGAATCAAGCTGAGACTTGGCCTTGGCAACCACGCTCAATGTGCACCATTGCACTAGGCGGGCAGCAGCACCACCACATTACATGACATCGCATGACATGACATGACATCATGCCATGGCATGGCAGGTCATCAGAGCCCTTGGAAGGCGGCTTCCAGCTTCTTGGCAGTGATGGTGGGGCTCATGGTCACAGGGCTACGCGGCGACTCCCCTCCCTGCCCATCCCCTGCCACACCGCCACCGCCCCCCGCCCCACCCGCACCTGCTGCTGTGCTGCCCGCCTGCGCAGCCCGGGGAGACGTGGATGCCACGCGCAGGCGGCTCAGTGCAGGGGAGGCGGCGGCAGAGGAAGAGGAGGCGATTTGTGCCGTGGGGTGGGAGGACACGGGTGCTGGAGCAGGAACGGTGGAGGGAGGCGGCAGGGCGGCGGTGGAGGGAGAGGGCAGGGAGGAGGGGGCGTCGGTGGGTGGGGGAGGAGAGGAGTGGTGCAGGAAGCGGTTGAGGATGCCACGCACAAAGGGCGCCATGGCTGTGGGGTCCGTGTCATGGAAGTACATGAGCCCACCCATGCACGCACAGAACAGCACCACCTGGGGGGAGAGGGGCGGTAGGGGAAGGGACAGGTGATGAGGGCGAGGTGTGTTGAGGATGATTGTGGGAAGGAATGGGTTGTGATGACGTGCAGGTGATGGGAGGTGTGTGCGGGGTGGTTGAATAGGAACGCAGTTGTGGTGGCGGATGGAGGAGCAGAGGGTGTGTGGAAGACGAACGGGATGGGGAGGGGGCGGGATGGAGAGAGTTGTTGTGTGTGAGTGTGTCTGGGTATGTGTGTGTCTGTGTGTGTGTGTGTGTGTGTGTGTGTGTGTGTGTGTGTGTGCATGTGTGCGAGAGAGGAAGCAAGAGAAGGAGAGAGTAAGGAGGGGAGGGGCAGGAGCACCTCGGCGAGTTTGATGTCGGGGAGGATGTGGCGGTTGACGAGGATGTAGAGGAGGGAGTCGAGGGCGCGTGGCAGCACGTACAGCGTCAGCTCCGCCCGCCGCGACTCCTTCTCTATCAGCACTGACAGCCCCGCCACCGCTCCTGGTGGCAGTGCATGGCCGCACAACACAGGACGGGACACACGCAAGGGATGATGGCGGATGGGTGTGCGAGAGGCAGTGGATACTGGAGCAACACGGTTATGAAGCTCTGTGCGCAGGTAATTAGAGGAATTAATGCAAGGGAAGTGAACAGCTGTTGTGCGAGAGTGCGGAAGTGGGCATGCGTGGTCGTGGGGAGAGGGCGACGGGGAGAAGGAGGGTCACCGGCGAGCCAGTAGAAGAGCTTGTGGTCCTTGAGGACAAACTTGCGATGCGTGCACGCACATGCCTGCCGTCATGCCATGCATGCCCACATATGCCACACACACACATGCACGCACATTCATGTGCACACACAAGCACACACACACACACGGATGCACAACATGAAATGAGGGGGTAATCTAGTGAAGCGAGCACACAGGCGTGTCAGGAGGAGACTGAAGCACACAGGACGAGCATCGAGCAAGTAAGTGAGAACGTGGCATGACGCCGCAAGGCAGGGGCGTGTAAGGGCGTGCAGGGTCGTGCAGGGGCATGCAGGGGGGTGCAGGGGCGTGCAGGGGAGTGCAGAGCACCTGGTAGACGCCGACGAAGACAGCGATGAAGGAGGTGGAGCGCAGGGCAGACGATGTGGCCAGCCACACCGTGCGCAGGGGCGACTGCATGAACTGCTCACACGGGCATGGGGAGAGGGGCGAGAGAGGAGAGGCGACGCAGGGAGAGGCAACGCAGGAGGAGAGTGACGCACAGTCGCTGCACTCCCTGGGTCCCAACCACACAAGCTCCCAGCCACTCCCAAGACTATCACCCGCTATTCACGCCACCCCCCCCCCCCCCCCCCGCCCCTCCTCTTCTCTACGCCACAAGGTGCCCGCGACTAGCAGGGTGGCAGCGGCGCACCTTGCGCAGGTTGAGCACGACAAAGGGCACGAAGGTGAGCGACAGGTACAGCGGAAACGTCTTGCGGAAGGCGTTTCTGGCAGCACCGAGCTGGGCGCGCGGGCAGGAGGAGCAGTCGGGGTGCAGCATGGTGCAGGGCACGAGCGCGGGCACGGGCCCCATGCCCAGCGGCGCCACCTGCCCCGTGCGCCCGCGCAGCAGTGCTGTGAGCGCCAGTGTGTTCATAGGCATGCCCCTGCAGCTGCGCCTCACCGCCTGCCAGGGCCGGGTTTGTCAAGGGCGCGTGGAGAGAGGATGGAGGAGGGCGTGCGTGGAGGGGGGTGGGGTGTGCGGTTGCGGTGAGGTGAGGAGACGGGAGACGATGAGGAGAGTGATAAACAGATGGTGCAAAATGGGAGGTGAGCGTGACAAGGGAAGACGAAGGGTGTACGGGGAGAGAGAGACACGGAGCAAATGGGTCGGGCGGGTGGGCAGGCAAGCACAGAAACCTTGGTGGTAAACACAGTGGTGGTGAGTGTGTGCGAGTGGGGCGTCACCTCGAGCACGGGAGTGGGGATGGGGCCGGTGCGGGAGATGAAGTCCCAGTAGGAGGAGGGCAGGGTCTCAGGGCGCATGACATAGGCGTACATGATCTGCGCCGACGCAAACACAAACAGCACCGTGCTGCCATACCCCCTCAGCGGGTGCCTCTGCAGCGCTCGCGCCCACTTGGACTTGGATGCACACGCGCACTGGGACACAGGGGAGGACGCAGGTGCGTGGCGAGGCAGGCGGAAGCAGTGGTCAGGAGAGGGGAGTTGGAAAGGACGGGAGATATTGCGGTGTGGTTACAGGAGAGAGGGCCACGCAGAGACAGTGGAGGTACATGGCAGGGAGTGCGCAAGGTGCGGACAAGGGGCGAGAGTGCAAGGGCGCACCTGGGCGAGTCTGGCAAGCAGGTAGAGGGCGAGGGAGCGGCGCTTGTTGGGGTCGTCGAGCGCCAGCACGGACAGCCCTGACACCGCCCCCGCTATGGTCCTGCTCTCACCCATGGCCACGCGGTACGCACGGGGAGAGGGGGAGGGAGGGGTGGTGACGGACAGGGAGCGGTGGGATGGAGGGAGGTGGCAGGGAAGAGGGAAGTGAAGGCAGGAAGGAGAAGGGCTAGGTTTGCTGGCGGCACGGTGCCCCATTGATGTTGAGTTGTACAGCTGCGATACCATAAGTGCACCAGTGCCAACCACATGCCAACCAGAGGCCAACCACATGCAGTTCATGAATGGCTGCAAGTGCAGCACGGGCAAGCAGTCTTTGCCGTTCGGCACCACTGTAGCTGCACGTGCAAGGCGGGCGTGGGTGTGACGCCCTGACCTCACCTCACCACGCACGACGCACACAGGCCGCAGGCCGGGGAGGGAAGTGGGGGGGAGAGGGGGGAGGGATCAACAATGTATCCCGATACGGCATTGAGTTCCGTCTGAGGCAGCAAGGAGGAGCGGCAAGGAGGAGCGGCAAGGAGGAGCGGCAAGGAGGAGCGGCAAGGAGGAGCGGCAAGGAGGAGCAGCAAGGAGGAGCGGCAGCGTTTGTTGTGAGAGCACAGCGCAGGCAGGGTGCACTGACGCGTTGGCAGGTGTGTCGCAGTCACGGCAGCGGCGCAGCAGGCAGCGCGTGGCGTGGTAGAGGCCGGAGAAGCCCCCGAAGAAGAGCCCCAGGCGGCACGCCTCCTCGCGCACCATCAGGTTCTTCTCCGACAGCAGCAGCTGCGCTCGCACACGGGGGCGTTGGTGGGGGGGAAGAGAGCGCGCGAGGAGAGGGGGCGGGGAGGGGGGTTTGGGGGAGGTGTGGTGTTGAGGCGTGGCACTCGAATAAGGAGCAAGAGAGATGAAGGAAGAAGGAGAAGGACAGAGAGAGGAAAAGAGTGAGACACGGGGGAGGGGAGCAGGTGAGGGGAGCGGGTGAGGAGATATGGAGGGTGGCGCGCAAGAAGGGGCGGGGAGGGCACCTGGAGGTCGAGTGCGGATTTGAACGACTTGTTGCGGATGAGCTTGAAGGCGCGCAGCAGCACGCCGATGCCCACGCGCACGCCGTACGCGAGCAGGAAGCTCTGGCACAGGCTGCCCACGGCGTTGGCCACGCACGAGTCGCCGTGCTGGCACAGCGGGTGCCGCGCGCCAAACACCGCCGAGTACGCGTCCGACCGCTTGCGGTGCCGGTTGTACAGCTCCTCCAGCGCCGCGCGCAGCTGCGCCTCCGCCGCCGCCAGCCGCCGCTCCGCCTCCGCCTTCTCCACCGCCGCGCGCGACGCCATTGCCTCGATGTTGGCGCGCACCCATGGCGCGGGCGCGCCCGGCCGCACTTGTGGGCTGGCGCCGCCGACGCTGCCGTTGGTGCTGCTTGTAGTGGTGGTGGTGGTTGCAAAAGAGGACGCTGTGTGGAAGGCGGTAGAGCGGGTGGGTTGTTCTTGACTGCGAGCGAGTGCTGGCGCGCCAGACCCTTCCCCCATCGCAGCAGGCCCGTCATGCGCGTCGACTCGACTGTCGCTGGCGCTGGAGCACGACGCCATGGTATGGTTGACGACGCAGCGCGCGCCACACGGCAGAGAGTCGCACGAGTCTTTACTCCGGCCTATGCAAGAACGTCCGACAGGGTTGCGGCAGGGCTGAATAAGAAGCACCGAAACGAGCTTTGCGCCGCGAAATGGTGAGTACAAGGATTGTTCAATGCCCGAGCGACAGTGCTTCACGCATAACTCAAACGGCGGTTATGTATGTACAGACTCGAATTTGGCCGACAAGTGCGGAGCAGAGGGGGTGTTATTCGAGGTTGAGTTGAGACAATTTCTAGGCACGTTCGCGACCGTTGGATGTGGAGGGAAATTGGTAAAATCAGTAACAATACAAGGGAAGTACAAATACATTGACTAAAGAATTTAAGCATTACCACTTCTCTATAGGGACAAAAACTACGGTATATGTACACACGTGTAAAAGTTGGAAAGGACTGGAAGTGAGAAACGATAGTAGGAAGGCAGAGGAAGAAGAGAAGTGGAAGAAAACAGTGGGAAGATGAAAGGGAAGAGAAGTGGAAGAAAATGTCAAATGTTGACCATTGTTATAGTCTGTAGTGAGGTGCTGTGTAGTGGGTACAACTCAATTAGACTGTCATGCTTGTACTCCCCTCCCTTTCTACTCTCGACATTCCGTTGCACTCTACTTCTAAGATGGTATCATGAGTAGGTATAGTATCCTAGCCTAGACTAGCCTAGCTCGCACTCTAGCGCCCTCCACGCTCTAGCCTTTCGTCGCGCCCTCCGCGCCCTCCGAAACGAGCCCTCCGCGCCCTCCGCGCCCTCCGCGCCCTCCAAAACGAGCCCTCCGCGCCCTCCGCGCCCTCTGAAACGCGCCCTCCGTCTCGTGCCTCCGCCCTTAGCCCGTGCGCCCTGCCCTTAGCTCGTCGCGGGCCCCGTGCGCCCTGCCCTTAGCTTGTCGCGGGCCCCGTGCGCCCTGCCCTTAGCTCGTCGCGGGCCCCGTGCGCCCTGCCTTCGCTCGTCGCGGGCCCCGTGCGCCCTGCTTTAGCTCGTCGCGGGCCTCGTGCGCCCTGCTGTAGCTCGTCGCGGAGCCTCCGCCTGCCTAGCACGCCTCCGCGCCTCTCGCACCCTCCATCCCGGGCCTGAGCCGTGCGCCCTCTCCTTCGCCCACGCCTGGCGCTTTAGACCGCGCCTAGCCCGCGCCCGAGCCCGTGGCTTAGCCCGCGCCTTACCCCACGCCACGCGCCCTCCGTGCTTAGCCCCGCCGTCCGCGCCGTCCGCGCCCCCCCCCGTGCTTAGCCCCGCCCTTTGCGCCGTCCGCGCCCTCCGTGCTTAGCCCCGCCCTCCGTGCCTCCCACAGGCCGAGCTCGCGCCCACGCCTTAGCCCTCACCCTCACCTTAGCTTGGGCCCTACCGACGCCCACCGACACTTGGCACTCGTCCCTTTCCCCACCACCACCCTGTTCGCTGAGCCCCAACCATTCTTACCGCCAGTGGTCTCTAGTTCAGCGGCTGGCAGCCGCTTCTCTCGCTGGTCACCTAGGTTAGACCCTTGTGGTCACTAGCTCCTCGCCTTTAGCGCCCATATCTGGAGTTCCTCGCCGTTTCACGCCTAGCCTAGGTCACTCCGTGCTCATCGCCACTAGCTCCGCCGGTCTCTTGCCTCGCCACACCTGGCGCTCCTCCATTTCCCTCCTCGTTCCTAGATCCGTCTCTTCCGTGCTCCAACCGCCTCTAGCCTAGCCTCCAGTATGGAGTCTCGCCGCCTTCGGTTCGATGCGGAGGGACGCCCGATCGAGTTCAGTACCTGGCAGCGCCAGGCCACGCGCTACCTCACCAGTCAGCGTCAGGACGGCGCCACCTTGTGGGCCCACGCGTCGGGTGCCCTCAAAGCGCCCCTGTCCCCCGACCCCCTCCCGAACGACCCAGAGCCGACTCCTGCGGCGCAGGCGGACTACGACCGTCGTGTCTTGGCGAGGGACGTGTGGGACTCTCGCGACGCTGCCGCCGCTCTTGCGCTGACGGAGCTCCTCCCCCCGACTGAGGCCGCCCACATTGACCAGGTGGAGACAGCTCAGGGGGTTTGGGCTGCTGTTGTTGCACGCTATTCCACCCCTTCCTCTGCCTCCCTCAGTTGCCTCCTCATGCCGTTCGTGTTTCCCGACCTCGGCTCGTTTGCGACTGTGTCCGACCTAGTGACGCACCTCCGCTCACTTGACGCCGGTTTCCGTGCGGCCTGTACCGACGCCCAGCTTCTTGCTGCTCCCCCCCCCATGTGGCTCAGTGTGCACTGGTTAGTCACCCGCCTCCCTGACCGCCTTGCCACTGCTCTCGACGCGCTTCTCCATAAGCACCCCACTGAGCTCACTGTCGATCTCCTTGAGACCGCTCTCGGGACGATCGAGAGTAGCCTCCTCACCGTTGCCTCCGCCACTGACGCGGTGGCCCCCCGTCTCTTTGCGGGGTGTGCCGCCCCTCAGCTTCCCACTTTCACTGCTACCCGCGCTTCTGCTGCTGTGTCGGTTTCTGGGGACACTGCTGCCGTTTCTGCCGCAGACTGGCAGAAACGGGGCAAGAGTGGCAAGAAGGGCGGGAAGGGGGGAGGTGGAGGCGGTGGAGGTGGCGGTGGAGGTGGTAGCGGCGGTGGTGGAGGCGGTGGCGGCGGCGACGGCGGAGGTGCACCAGGCGGAGGGGACCTTGGAGGAGGTGCAGGACAGACAGGCCCGCCCACTGGCGGTGGCCCGACCGGTGGGGGTGTTGGACCCCAGCAGTAGCAGTCGCAGCAGCACCAGCCACAGCAGGGACAGCAGCAGCAGCAGCAGGGACCGCAGCAGCAGCAGGCACCGCAGCAATTCCAGCAGTGGGGGCCCCCACTGCAGTGGGGTCCGCAGCAGCACTGGGGTCCCCCGCCGCAGTGGGGTCCGGGAGGACCACGGAGCACCGGCCGCAGCGGCAGCGCTTCCAGCTGGGCCCCTCGCCCCCCTCGCCGTGACACTGGCCCCTGCACCCACTGGTGCCTCACCGGACCTGGCAGCCCCTGTCTCTGCGGTCGTGACGACCACTCTGCCGCGCGGTGCTTCCGCCGCCTCGACGACCTCTACCGTGCTCGTTGGGGCCCTGCGGCGACCACGCCTCGCTGGGCTCGCCTGTTAGCCCGTAAGATTGATGTGTTTGATCTGTCCTTGGACGATGCTCGTCACCATGCTTTGTATACTGATGTTGACTATAGTGCTGATGGATCTGTGTGCTCGCGTGTTCCTAGATTTGCTTGATTGCCTCCTGCTAGTGTAGACTTGTGCCTTTCTAGTCTAGGTGCTTGTGTTGCTGCTCTAGGTGCTTGTGTAGCCACTAGGACGGGTGACCCTCCGGCTGAGGCGTCCCTGTCCTTCACGCTGGACTCTGGTGCGTCTCAGTGCTTCTTCCGCGACCACACGACCCTCACGCCACTCCTCACTCCTGTTTCGGTGGCTCTGGCTGATCCTACCTCAGGACCAGCTGTTGCGCGTAGCTCCACTACCCTCCCGTGTCCTGTGGTCCCCTCTGGTGTCCTGCGCGGCCTCCACATCCCCTCGTTCACTCGGAACTTGGTGGGTGTTGGTTACCTCCAGGACAAGGGGATCACGGTTACCTTTGTGGGGGGTGGGAGGACTGCGGTCTGTACAGACGCTGCCACAGGTGCTGTTCTGGCCACGTTCACCAGGGAGCCCCGCTCCGGTCTCTACGTTCTCCACACCGAGCGCTCCCCGGTTGCGTCCCCCGCTCAGGTCGTTGCGTCCCCTCCAGTCCAGGTGTCCCGTCCGGTTGCTGTGTCTAGCCAGGTGGTCGTGTCTTGTCCAGTTGCAGTGTCTAGTCAGGTCGCGCTGTCTAGTCCACTCGCTGCGTCCTGCTCCTGTCGGTCCCTCACCCACCGGACCGTCTTGTGGCATCACCGCCTTGGCCACCCGTCGATCCCCCGCCTCCGCGGGATGACCACTCACGGGCTTGTCACCGGTCTCCCACGCACCTTTCCGTCGCTCCCCACCTCCCCTGCTCCCCCTTGCACTCCTTGCGTCGCCGGTCGCTTACGCGCCACTCCCCACTCCTCCTCCCTTCGTCCGGCCACTGCTCCCTTCGAGACCCTCCCCTTGGACGTCTGGGGCCCTGTCCCGACGCAGGGTTCTGGGAGGGAGCGTTACTTTCTGGTGGTCGTCGACGACTTCTCCAGGTACACCACAGTGTTCCCTCTCGCGAAGAAGTCCGAGGTGACTGCTACGCTGATCCGGTGGCTTCTGGCCACTGAGGGCACTCGTGTTCGTCGTGTCATTTGTCTACACTCCGACCGTGGGGGCGAGTTTCGCTCCGGCATTCTTGGCGGATTCTGCGGCGAACAGGGCATCGTACAGTCCTGGACGCTTCCGGAGTCCCCACAGCAGAATGGGGTTGCTGAGCGCCGCATTGGCTTGGTCATGGACATTGCTCGCACGTCCATGATCCATGCCCGTGCGCCCCATTTTCTGTGGCCCTACGCGGTTCGCTACGCCGCACACCAGCTGAACCTCCAGCCGCGCGTCTCACGGCCCGAGGCTTCACCGACCAGTCTTTGGACCGGGTCCCCTGGTGTTGGGTCGGTCTTTCGTGTCTAGGGCTGCCTTGCGCTTGTTCGCGACACCTCCGCGGACAAGCTCTCGGCACGCGCCGTCCCCTGTGTCTTCCTTGGTTTCCCGGTGGACTCTGCCGACTGGTCCTTTTACCACCCTCCCCTCCACCAGTTCCTAGACTCCCGTGACGTCCGGTTTGACGAGTCCGTGTCCTACTACACCCGGTACCCCTGTCGAGGTCTCCCGGTTCCCCCTCCCCCCCTCTTCCTCGCACCCTCTCCTCCTCCTGCTCCCGCTCCTCCGGTACCCCCGCCCCCCCCTGGTCCTTCCCCGTCTGGTGTGTCCCACGCTACCCCTCTACCCTCAGTCGCGCATCAGGTAGCGTCTCCCTCCCCGCAGTCCTCCTCACAGTCCCCTCAGCAGCCTTCGGCGCTTCCGCGACAGGTTCCTGTGGACTCG